CAGATAGCATTTCTCTTTCCTAGTTTAATCCTGTCTTTTCTCCACCTCAGTTAGTCTGTTTCTTTCTTTTAATGGTAAGAATTAGTTGAGGAGTTGGAAGTTAGAAGATGAGTACTTGGGTCATTTTAATCAAGATGGGGGTGGAGAAACTTAAAGGCACATTTGATTGAAAGTAAGAAACTAGTTGAGAAATTTAGGAAAAAAGTTATTAGAGGAGGCTCTGAATTAAAGAATGAGACTTTCTAAGTCTTTCTTATACTAAATCATAATCTGTCATGGCTGAAAGCAGTGTAGTTTTAGCAGACATGGTTCAAAGTTGGAGTCACAGAGTTGACTATGTCCAGTTCCACTATGTCCACCTAGTTGAATTTGAGGCAGTAGGTCCTTATGTCCACCTCACTAAACCACTGTTTCTTCCTCTGAGTAATACCTGGCTGTTCCAGCTCACAAAATTGTTGTAAAGACCAAAAGTGATCAGACTGGTGCATAAGATTTGGTAAATTTGAAAACTGAGATTGGGGTGATGTCTGACCTCTGACTTCACCAGGTAGGGAGAATCAGATTTCATATCAGTGAAAGGCTGAATCCTACGAGGCTGATGTCAGCTATGCCTCTACTTTCCAACCTTCTTTACCAATTCAGACACCAACCAACCCTCCCACAAGACTCTCTCCTCAACTGGGTTTGATAATCCATTGCAATGGTCACACAGAACTTAGACACTCTACTCACACTTATAAATCTGACTTATGGGGTTTACTAGGGAAGTTAATAGATTACAATGCAGGACTAGAAAAGTTCAGGATACAGTTTTTTGGTTGTGAAAGTCTCTTTCAGGCCATTGGTCTTTCAACCATGGCCAGCCCCTTGGCCTCTGCCATGTGCAGACAATATTACAAAGTACTTTTTTTGTTGTAGTTTTTTAAGTTTTTATTGTGAATTGAGTGATAGTTTACATGGCAGAACATCAGCTTTACATTCATCCTATCATATTTTGTTTCATTGCAATGACTACAATCCCCTCCATGTATCATCATTCAACAGCATTTGGTTCCATTCCCTCTGTTTTATTATTATTATTTTGGATGTACACGGAAGCACTCAGGAATATATAACCATTCAAACAACCAAAGGGTACCCCCAGCAAGTCTGACCTCTGGCTGCCAGCACACAGCCCCCCTCTCTCCCTGAGTCCAGAGTCCCCAGCCACTCCATCTCTCCACGTCATCATCTCTGCCTCCATCTCTGGCATCACTGCTTCTCTGGATAGGGTCCCACACTCCACTCTTTTCTCTTGATGGTCCCATGGTCCTCTGTTCCTGGACTGCAAGATCAACCACTCCCCTCCTTTTGTTATAAACCATCTTCCTTTACATTTGCAACACTCACAATCAGTCTTGATAGCAATTATTTACTATTGAACCACAAGAGTCTTATCCCCATCTCCTTTCACTAGCCCTGTCTAAACAGGTTGGAAACCACTCAGTGGAGAATCTACCTTCCCCCGCACCCTCTGACACTAAGCTCCCTCTTGAAAACTTGTAACCCAGTCACTTTGTGCCTTTGTATCCCTCCAGTTTGGGTAGCTGATGTCTAAGTTGCCTATTCCTGTCAACCTTGTGTGTTGAGGGGGTGGGATTGATCCTTGCTGTAAAGATTTGTTCCCTCTTTTAAGCTACTACATCCATAAGTATAGGTCAAGTTCATCAAATTGTAGCAGATTACACTTTTTTTTCCCTCTTCATTCTTCCTCTAGTCAAGCTCTGATCATCCAGCCATTGAAGCTAGGTCAAATGGATACTATCTGCAATTATGGGAGTTCTTGTGCATCTCCCCTCACTTCATATCAGCTGGACCCTTCACTCTCCACTCTAGTCCTCTGTGGCTATGTCCCTTTCCATGGGCTCAGGAGTCCCCAGGTCTTGTTATACTGCTGACCAACAAGGTCTCAATCCAGGTTGACAGGAGTCTATTGAACGTGGTCAAACTGTTCACAGTTTCATTGCTGTTTTTCCTCTACTTCCCCTTATCAGTAGACCAATGTGGTCACCAGCAAGATTACATGCCTGTTCATGTATTCTCTACAAAGCTCTTTTAATCCTGCTGATTAATGTCCAAATGGCATCACGCATCACTATAACTCTCAGCCAAAAGGCATTCAGCTCTGGCTCCATAAATCAGCAAACCTAGCTCCCCAATTAAATGCCTAGAGGCACTCCATTCCACAAGCAATCCTCCTGCCCACAGGCATTTTGCTTTATGGGCTGGGAAGTCCACCGCTCTGTCTCATGCTCTGGCTCTTGGTTCTGCTGCTGCCAATCCTCTGCCAGTCTTCTTCTGCTCCTCTCATGTTATAGCTCTGTCTTCTGGGTTGTGGAGCTTCAACACTCAGGGATCTAGGGTTCAAAGGACACCTTACCTCTGGCTTCTCTTCCTTGGTGATAATAAGATGCCCTTATTCCTGCTTCTAGATGGCTTGTTTTATACACACGTTACAGTTCCAAATTTTTACAATTATAATTAGTCCTGTTAGCAATATTTCTTTGCTAAAAGCAGATAATATCAGGAAGATGTTTATTTGTGTTTTGTTGACTATGCAAAAGCATTCAAATTTGCAGATCATAAAAAACTATGGATAACTTTGTGAAGAATGGAGATTTCAGAACATTTGATTGTGCTCTTGACAAACCTGCCCATAGGCAAATAGGTGACTGCAAACCTACCTCCTCAGTTAAATACCTGGAAACCCCCACTCCACAAGCAAGAAGCTACTGTATGGTTTATTATCAGGAAAGTGTGTACCAAGATTGTATCCTTTCACCATACTTATTCAATCTGTATTCTAAGCAAATAATCCAAGAAGCTGGATTATATGAATAGGAATCTGACATCAGGATTGGAGGAAGACTCATAAACAACTTGTGATATGCAGATGACATAACTTTGCTTGCTGGAAGCAAAGAGGACTTGAAATACTTACTGATGAAGATCAAAGGCTACAGCCTTCAGTATGTGTTGCACCTCAGTGTAAAGAAAACAAAAATTCTCAAAACTGGACCAATAAATAATATGATAAATGGAGAAAAGATTGAACTTGCCAAAGACTTCATTTTGCTTGGCTCCACAATCAACACTCATGAAATCAAGAGTCAATAAATCAAACAATGCATTGCATTAGACAAATCTACTGCAAAGGACCTCTTTAAGGTGTTCAAGAACAAAGATGTTACACTGAGGAGTAAGGTGTGCTTTGCCCAAGTCATGGTATTTTCAGTAGTCTTAAATGCATGTGAACATTGGACAATGAATAAGGTTGACCATAGAAGAATCTATGCATTTGAATTACGGTGTTAGTAAAGAATGTTGAAAATACCATGGACTGCCAGAAGAACAAAGAAGTCTGTCTTGGAAGAAATAAAACCAGAATGTTCTTTAGAAGTGAGGATGGAGAGACTTTATCTCTTGTACTGTGGGCATGCTGTCAGGAAGGATCAGTCCCTGGAGAAGGACATCATGCTTGATAAAGTGAAGGATCAGTGAAAAAGAGGAAAACACCCATCAAGATGGATTGACACAGTGGTAGTAGCAATGGGCTCAAGTGCAACACTTGTGAGGATGGCACAGGACCAGGTAGTGTTTGGGTCTGTTGTACATAGCATGTACATACATGAGTAGGAACCGACTCCACAGAATCAAAAAACAGTAAGAAGAGAAAACGTTAAGGACCCCTTATGGAGTAGTGGGTTATGATTTGGGCTGCTAACCCAAAGGTCAGCAGTTAGAATCTATCAACTGCTCCACAGGAGAAAGATGAGGTTTTCTACTCCCATAAAGATTTACAGCCTTGGAAACCCTATACCTATACCAGGTCACTATGAGCCAGACCGACTTGACAGCGCTCAACCACCACACCACCAACACCAAAGGGAAATTTTAATAATGACTAAGGGGAAATATAAGGATCTCTGGTAGTGTAGTGATTACTAGTTGGGCTGCTAACCTCAAAGTCAGCAGCAGTTCAAAACTACCAGCCATTCCGCAAAAGAAAGATGAGGCTTTCTAGTCCCATAAAGATTTACAGCCTCAGAAACCCTATGCAGGGGGAAAGATGGAGCCTTGGTGTGGCACCAAAGGATAAGCACTCAACCTCAAGGTTGATGTGAACTGCAAGATCAGTGGTTCAAACTCACCAGTCACTCGTCCGAAACCCTACACAGGCTCCTTATGAGTCGGAACCAACTTGATGACATACAGTAACAACAACAAGGGTGAACAGCCCTGGTATGTTGTTGTTGTTAGGTGCCATGAAGTCGGTACCGATGCATAGCGACCCTATGTACAATAGAACAAAACACTGCTTGGTCCTGGGCCAGTAGAATAAACACTGGACTGCTAATTGCAAGTTTGGTAGTTCAAACCCAGCAGCTGCTCTCAGAAGTCCTATCCAGGGAAACAACTTAGTGACACACAACAACAAAGGGAAATACATTTTGTTTTGTAATTTTTGAATTGTCATATAGTGTACTTTTTAATCTGTGCTGCTAAGTTGTAGTTGTGTACCATTGAGTATAGGGTTTTCAAGTTTTGGTGTAGTGCTGTTGGCTAAGCACTGGACTGCTAATTGCAAGGCCTGTGGTTCACACCCACCAGTCACCTCTTGGAAGCCCTATATAGTATCACTATGAGTCCAAACTCACTTGACAGCACTTAGCAAGAGTACAACTAAAGAGGAGAGGGATTGTGTAGCATAGAGGATACCCACCAACCCACTGGGAAGGTAAACAAAGGCCTTTTTCTAGTTCTTCCATCTTAGGACCCCTGAAACTTTGGAACTTCTGCTTAATTTAACATGACCAGTAGCTCTATTACTGATTTTATGTTAAAATGAAAAAGTATAGACAACATAACCTTTAATTATATATGGACAAAACTCTGGTTTGGATGAGTATTGGAATAGATCACAGAGAATTTTATTGATTTGTCCCCTACATAATAAATACTCACTAATCTGCTTTTGCTATTATCAAAATAGTCATCACAAACACCATAATGAAGAAAATCCACATGAAGAATCGGTCTATCACTTTCGCAACCTTCTTCCATTCACTTCCCTGGAAATTAGTGGCTTTGTGGTCTTTGAGGCACTTGGCAATATACTCAATATTCTTTGTCAGCATGTTGTACCGTGCACAGTAATTGTCAGCATTCTGGGGACTCTCACCCTGGCATTCCAAGTCATTCTTTAAGAGTTTGTTTATTTCTTTCTTTCTAGAAAGATCTTTGTTCCCTACTGTTTTCAGATTAGGTTCTGGGAGCTTGCCATAAACCTTTGTGAAGTGGTCCCGTCGTCTGTTGTGGTGTGGGGTCAGGCAGTTCTCACCCACGTCGTATACAAGCAAGATTCTGGACATGTATTTCAGGATGACCACTCTGGCCCAGTGTGGCACTGGCCGGGCCTCGGCCCCACAGAAGTGGACATTCATCACCATAATAGTCAAGGCAGTCGATGCTGTGATCAAAGCCATGGTAGCTATGTAGTATTTGCCTGGAATTAGAACAAGAATGACAACCACATTAGCTTAAAGACTGTCTCATGTTTGACTTAAAAAGAAAGAAATTTCTATGGAAGTGATATACCCTAGTGGTTACTAGTAGAGACTTTTGAACAGACTCCTGGGTTCAAATCCCATCTCTGTCATTTACTAGACATGCGACTTGTGGCAAATTATATAATCTTTTTTTGTTTTTTTTAAGGTTTTTATTTTGCATTGAGTGAAAGTTTACAGGGCACATCATCAGCTTCACATTCAACCATTCATATAGCTTGTTTCATTACATTGATTATTATCCCCACCATATATCATCATCAGTTTACAGTGTTTCTCTCTATCCTCTTTAGCTTTTTTTTTTTTTTTTGGATGGGGGGGGACTTGGCTTTTTGGAATTTACAGTCTCGGCTTTTAGGGAAGGTTTTTACATTTGTCTGTGGATATCCAGGGCTCATGTATGAGATTACTAACAAGCATTACTGCATAATCAGATGAGGGACAGTTTGCTATGTCTACTAGGTAGCTAGAGTCTGATCCTCAGAGCCTATGGTTTGGACGGTCAACAACGCTTGGGCCCACAGGGGCTTGGCCTCCTGACCGGGTCTGCACTGTCTGCATCTGAATCCTCCTTATTTATTGATTGTTTAAGGGACGCTGCCTGTCTTAGGTGGTCAGTGCGAATTCCTCAGTCTTACCAGTCATTGAGACTCATTGCAGCATGGCAATGTCTCTGTCTTAAGTAGCCGAGGTTCCACGTGATCCTTACCCATCTCTGGCCACACGTCCAGCATAAACAGCCGCCATCCGAGGAAGGCAGGGAGGGAGGAGATCAGCTGGGGACCCCATGAGCCCCAAATTATATAATCTTTCTAAGCCTCAACTTGCTTCTCTGTAAATAGGTGCAATAATAGTATTGAATTCACAGGAGTATGATGAAGTTCAAATAGGATGATGCAGTAAAGTCAGCAGCACTCTCTCTGCCCAAAGTTACAAGATTTGTAAATGTTTGCTGAGGTAATTTTTCTATCTCAAAAACCAAATAATTAATGAACTTGACTAGTTCTCAAATTCTTCTCAGACCTCATTAAATATGGAAGTCTACTACGATTGAGTAACAGAGGAGATATTGTGTCACTGTTAGTCTGTAGCATAAGTACTGGTCTGCTAATCACAAAGTTGGTGGTTCAAACCAATCAGCCGCTCATTGGAAACTCTATACAGGGTTGCTAAGAGTCAAAAATGACTCGACAGCACTTGACAACGTTAATCTTTAAGGAGTCCTGGTGTGTCATCATAGGATAAGCATTGGAATGCTAACCACAAGATCAGTAGTTCAAACCCACCAGCTGCTCCTTGGAAACTCTATTTGGGCTGCTATGAATTGGAACCAATTCAATGACACTTAATAACAAAAACACATTAGTCTTAAAGGAGCATGGTGGCTCTGTTGGTTAGGTACTTGATTTCCAACCACAAGGTGGATGATTCAAGCCCACCAGCTGCTCCACACCAGCAGAAAGATGAGGCTTTCTGCTCTCGCAAAGATTTATAGCCTCGGAAACCTTACACAGGGTCATTATGAATCAGAACTGACTTGACGACACTCAACAATGTGATTGTATAAAGCAAATGCTCATGGAAAAGGAAAAAATAGTCATAAAACAAGGGCACAATCTATGAACAGAAAACAAAAAAAATGAAAAGATGAACAAAAGCAAGCTATTTGAAAAGAATAATAAAATAGATAAACCTGTGGTAAGTTTGCTCAAGAAGAGGAGAGAAAGATATAGGGCAAAGATGAAAAGGATGACATTAAAAAATATATAAAATATAGTATAAATTATTATATTTGTGGCACTGTATGATAAACACTGGACTGCTAGCCACAAAGTCAGAGGTTCAAAACCACCAGTTCCTTCTCAGAAACCATTAACAGGGTTGCTATGAGGCAGAATTGACTTAATGGCATACAACAAAAACAACAGCAACATATATAGTAATACATTTGATAAAATGGATGAAATAGTTGAGTTTCTGGAAAATTTTAACCAGAAAACCAAACCTACTACCATGAAGTAAATTTCTACTCATAGTAATCCTATAGGACAGAATAGAAGTGTTTCTGAGGGTTTCTGAGACTGAAAATCTTTATTAATTCGCTTCTCAAGAGATCCTAAACAGGGTCGCCATGAGTCGATTCATAGTGACCTTGTATTTTCCGAGAAGCAGCTGGTGAATATGAACCGCCAGCCTTGTCTTTCGCAGTCCAGTGCTGACAGGTACAGCACCACACCAGATAGATATTTGAACAGATAGCCTCATATTTCTCCCATAGACAGGCTGGTGGGTTCAAACCACCAACTTCAGTTAGCAGCTCAATGTTTAACCCACTGTCCCACCAGGGCTCCTTGGAAACACATAGGATGTCAAAAGTAGTGCAAGAAGAAATAGAACACTTGAAAAGAAATGAGAATCAATCAAATACTTCCTGCCTCTCATCCCCCTCAAAATCTTTAGGCCCAAAGCATTTTGTAAGTGAATTTTACCAAACTTTCAAGGAACAGATAGATAATTCATATCTATGCAAGTTGTTCCAGAAGTAGAAAGGAGAAAAAGATACCAAACTCAGTTGGTGAGCTCAAGTGTATCTTGATTCCAAACTGACAAGAAAGGCAATTTTAGGACACATTTCATGTATAGACATATTTGAGAAAATCCTATCAAAATAATTAACTAACAGAATCTAACTGAAATCCAACAGTGTATTGAAATCATAATGTTGTAGTTGTTGTTAAGTACCGCCGAGTGATTCCAACTCAGAGCCACCCAGTGTAGGGTTTCCAACGACTGGCGGGTGAGTTTGAACTGCCTACCTTTAGGTTCAAACCAGCCTTTAGATCCAGTGCTTTCCCACAGCACTAAAGAACAGTTTGACTCAGGAATATAAAGAGATTCAATATTTAAAAACATCATTGATGTCATTTACTATATTAATGGGCTAAAAGAGAAACTCACATGATTATTTTAACAGAAGACAATGCACTTGATAATATTTGCCACCCACTATTATTTGTTGTCCTGGTGCAGCACTGTGGGTTAATGCACCAGACTGCAAAGCCGTTTGAACTGCAAGGTCAGCAGTTCAAGCTCACCAGTTGCTCCTCGGAAACCCTATACAGGGTCGCTATGTGTCTGAACTGACTCGATGGCACTTAGCAACAACAACATTATTTGTTGTACGGAGTCCTGGTGTGGCACTGTGGGTTAATGTGCCAGACTGCAAAGTCATTTGAACTGCAAATTGGCAGTTCAAGCTCACCAGCTGCTCCTCGAAAACCTATGCAGGGTCACTATTGGTCAGAATCAACTCGATGGCACTTAACAACAGCAATAATTTGTTGTAGAGTCTTGGTGTGGTGCTGTAGGATTGCCAACCGTAAGGTCAGCAGTTCAAACCCACAAGTCACTCTTCAGAAACCCTATATGAATCAGTACTAACTCGATAGTGCTTAACAACATTATTTGTTGAAAACTAAAAATAGATGGAAGCTTTCTTAATATGGTAAAGTCCATGGGCCAGAAAGTTACATCAAATGCTACACTTAATGCAGAAATCTTAGACATGTTCCTATAAAATCAGGAGAGCATCCCATATATGCTATTATTGCCTCACATAAATCTGGAGGCAACAGCACAAGACCAAAGAAATAATAAAATTGGAAGGATGGAGATAAAATTGTCATGATTTGCAGGTATTTTACTCATCTATATAGACAATCCAATAGACTCAATGAACCATTAGCATTAATTACAGATTTTGTCGAGATACTAAACATGTCAACTTAAAAAAAAAAAAAAGCAATTCTTTACTTTTATCTAATTTTTTAAAAAATAAAATATTATATATACATAAGGGATTCCTGGTAGTAGTGGGCTGCTAACCACAAGATCAGCAGTTCTAATCCACCCGCCACTCCGCAGGAGAAAGATGAGGCTTTCTGTTCCCATAAAGATTTACAATCTTGGAAACCCTCTACAGGGTCACAATGAATGAGAACTGACTCAAGGACACATAATCACCACTACCACCACCACTACCACTATGTTGTTGTTGTTGTGTGCCGTGGAGTCAGTTCTGACTCATAGTGACCCTGTACAGGGTTTCTGAGGTTGTAAATCTTTACGGGAGCAGAAAGCGTCATCTTTCTCCCGCGGAACAGTTGATAGTTTTGAACTGCTGACCTTGTGGTTTGCAGCCCGATTCATAACCACTATGCTACCAGAGCTCCTTACTACCACTATATATATATATATATATATATATATATATATATATATATATATATAGAGAGAGAGAGAGAGAGAGAGATAGGATATATATATATATATATATAGAGAGAGAGAGAGAGAGAGAGAGATAGGATTAGGAGTTCGGTGGCTCTGTGGGTCAGACTTTGAACTGCTAACTGAGAAGTTCAAACTTACCTGCTGTTCCATGGGAAAAAGATGAGGCTGTCTGCTCCCATAAAGATTTTTTTCTCCCAAAACTTTTATTTTTGTTTTTTAAAGCTTTTGTTGTGAACTGAGTGACAGTAGATCATCAGCTTTGCATTCAGCACATCATTGCAATGATTACAACCCCCTCCATGCACCATCAGCTAACAGTATTTACCTCTACTACCTTTTTTTAAATGTATACATACAACATTGAAAAATTGTATTTGTTTAAATGTCCAAAGGGGCACATTTTGCAAGCCATATATATCTATAGAGATATATATGTATCTCTCTCTCTATATATATATATCTAAATATATATTTATCTATAGCCACTTCTCCTTCTCTCTCTC